AAGGCTTCCTGCATGATAAGCTGGTTAAGCAGATAAAATACACCCGTAACGTAACAGACACATCCCAAAAACGCACTGAACAGCTCCAGGTAACGTTGAGATCAGGTTATACCAAATACCACGTGGTGGAAAACGATAACCTGAAAAGTTGTTTCAATGTACCAGGCAAGAAAACAAAATTCCACACTAGACCAATGAGGACTGCGTGGGGGGCTCCTGGGTATCTCTGTATCAAGATGCACGTAGTGCCTGACTCTGCAGAACATGCTAGAGAACTGACCATCCAGCCTGGACTCACAACTAACAGTAAAAATGGCAAAGTTAAGTAAACAAATGGAAACAACAGCTGTTCTCTAGAGATGCCATGCATTCACAGCAGAATTTAAATACCTGAATTGAAGGCATTAACTCAACCTACTTACTGGTTTTTAAACTTTTTTTTAATCACAGGAAAAATCCATTTAAATGGTGGAGCTATTTCTAAAGGTAAAAGCAGGGGAAAAACTTTGTTATCTATATAGGGAGATGTTTGAGATTTCCTTTTTCTCAAAGATTTATTTTTTATTTATTTATATTTTATTTATTTTCTAGATTTCTTTTTATTAGAAAGGTAGATATACAGAGAGAAAAAGATCCTCCATCCGCTGCTTCACTCATCAAATGGCCACAACAGCCGGAGCCAAGCTGATCTGTAGCCGGGAGCCAGGATGCACGGTGCAGGGTGCCAAGGTTTGGGGCCATCCTCTAATGCTTTCTCAGGCTACAAGCAGGGAGCTGGATGGGAAGTGGAGCAGCCAGGACACGAACTGGCACCCACATGGAATCCCAGCACTTGCAAGATAATGATTCAGCCACTAGGCTATCATGTCAGGCCCAGAAATTTCCTTGTTTAAACGTATCAAAATAGTTCATTTGATTTTCCTTATTAAACATTTCCAACTTCTATTTAACAAATTCTAAATATGCTGGAAAATGCTGAGAAGAGAAAAAAAAGTTTTTACTGACTAAAAACTGAGATCTTGTACCTCATGTGATTTTAAACTTTCTAAAGCAAGAATGTCTTGGACTGGAGAACCAACGTCTTTGCTTTGCCTGCAAACCTACCGTGAACTTGGCGTTCACCTTCTAAACCTGTGCCCTGCTGCCTGTCGCCACGTGTGAGCAGCAGCTGACCAGCGGATCAGGAAGGGGGGAAAAGACTTGCCCTCCCAGTAAGATCACACTCGATTCATTTTATTTCAACAACTTTATTCTGACGATTATTCACACAGAGAACACTGGAATGACATAAAGACTTCAAAGTAATTGCCAGCCTACTAGTTCTCAGGCACTCCCCACATCCTGGCACTGCTGGACAGTATGGTCAACTTGCTCATCTTCCTAAGATATTCAGTTCACTAAGCAGTCACCCAGTGTTCAGTATACAAATGTACCATCGTTATAGCAGAGCTTTAACTCAACAAGCTGCTCTAGCTTCTTTTTTTTTTTTAAGATTTATTTTTATTTTTATTGGAAAGGCGGATATACAGAGAGGAGGAGAGACAGAGGGGAAGATCTTTCGTTCAATGACTCACTCCCCAAGTGAGCCGCAACGGCTGGTGCTGTGCCAATCTGAAGCTGGGAGCCAGGAACTTCTTCCAGGTCTCCCACTCGGGTGCAGGGTCCCAAAGCTTTGGGCCGTCCTCGACTGCCTTCCCAGGCCACAGGCAGGGAGCTGGATGGGAAGCGGGGCTGCTGGGATTAGAACTGGCGCCCATAGGGGATCCCAGGCGTGCAAGGTGAGGGCCTTAATCACTGGGCAACCGTGCCAGGCCCTCTAGCTTCTTTTAATAATTTCTACTTAGAGGACCAAACTGGAGCATGGTGCTTCCTGAAAGCTTTTAGGTACCATCCATCGTACCCAGTAGTAACCACTAAACATACCTAGGCAGTTAGAGTATGTTTTATAACAAGTTCAAGTGTGAAAATCACATGGAAACAATCCTTTTCTTAAAAGGATCCTCACCATTAAAAAAAGAAAAAAGAGGGTGTGGTGCAAATCACCAAGTTAAGAAATAAATTAAAGCATGGTTTTTTCCCTCGGATTTTATTAAGGTGAGGTTAAGCCCTCAAAGCCCCTGAAATCTACCACCAATTTCATAAAAATTTAAGCCCTTGTGCTTAGGGAAAACACACTTAAACCCTTATTATCACAGACAAAATTAGAGACCATCTAGGAAGAAGTAAAATGAACGACTCAAATCCAGTCTTACACGAAAACAATGCCATGATGTTCTTACAAATGCCAAAATCAGGAGGGGCCAAGGAGAACCCCAGCTGTCCCAGGAGCTGTACGGTACCAGATGCTCTACAGGAGGAGACAAAACCAAGAGGCCATAGACAGACAAAGGAACTGACAGACATGTACCCGAAGGTCCGGCTGCCCACAGGGAGACAGCAGCTACGGTAGGAGGGACGTGACTGTAACTGAGCAGGACCCAATGGGCCAGGACGGGTGCAGCCAACAGACTGATCAAGGCCCACAGATCGTGAGAAAATGACAGTCAACACAAAGATGCAAGGGACAGAGTCAGAAAACTGTTTAAAAAAATGGCCATACTGGTTTTGTTGTTTTAAAGAAAGGGATGACAGAGCTCTAAAATCATGAGGGAGGGGACAGTGTTGGGGGCAGCACTAAGCTGCCTGGGACACATGCAGCTCAGATTGTCTAGTTCAAGTCCCAGGTGCTCCAGGAAGTGTCTGAACGTGCACCTTGCGAGGCAGCTGATGCAAAGGCTCCAGTTCTTGCGTCCCTGCCACCCATGTGGGAGATTGGAATGGCGCTCCAGAGCCTCCACGTTGGCCTGACCTTGCCCTGGTTGTCGGGGGCATTTGCAGAATTAACTAATGAACAGAAGTACTTCCCTCTGTCCCATTCTCTGGCTCTACAGCTCTACTTCTCATAAAATGTACAGAAATAATAATAATAATAATAATAAAATAATAATAAATAAATAATAATAATAAAAAATTTTTTAAAACCTCTGAAATCCCTCTTCCATTTAACAAGTTTAAGCGAACTAATTCAAAATAAAGGCACACAAAAGTATGATTGGACCCCATGAAATGCTACTAGACAAAAGGCTTCCTTTAACATTCACAAATTTGATCACATTTCCTATTCAAGAAATGATTACAGAGAACCTGCCCACCCCCGCCACCATGCCAATATGAAAAAAAGCTATGTCTCTGGGGGGGGGGAATATTCCAGAAACCAGATGAAATAATTCAGTCTAAAAATTTTATAAATTCTTATAAATCAGATCTTCGCAACACTGAACTATTTATGTCATACCCTTCTAGAATAACTGACTCCTACAAAATCAAAGGACACGTTTTGGCCTTACCTCACACTTTGAGTCCTCCATGTTTTTACCCACCCTTCTTTTTACTGATTCCATGAGTGGTGACCAAACTGTGCCTCCCCCTAAATTTAACTCAACATCACCTGCAGCCAATCCTAGATCTTAACTTGAAATCCATGTCCCGATACCAGTACAATAGGGAATATCATTTTCAATATTGCATTCTAGTCTAACTCCTGCGACACGCACAAGATGCCAGCACTCAGCACTGGGCTTTTTAACAAGAACCACGATTCCAAGGATAAAGTTTGTGTGTCTTGTGGACACACAACACCTGGCTTGGGGAGCAGGGTGCACAGCTGCCCGTGCACTCACCCCACAGTAGGCACCGAGCCCTCACTACACACGAGGCACTGCTCTCCTAACTGGGAGGATGCAAGCTGCTGCTGCTGTTTGTTTTAATCTTGAAACTTGCTCTCCGGTGTGAGGGTAGCAGGTAAATCCTAATAAAATAACAGGTAGGAAGGAAAGCAATGCTGAACAAAATAAAACAACGAAATGGGGCTGGACAACACGAGCATAGACAGGATCTTATACAAACTCCACAGGAAGACAGCACCTGAGCAGGTGTCAGAGGGAAACTCCAGGCAGCTGCGGCCAGAGGACGGTGGTTACCAGCATACTAGTCAGGCTGGTGTTCTGTTACAGGCAGTGGGGAACGCTGCCACTTGCAACGCCAGCATACTAATTGGTCAGTGTCTTACAGGACCAAGAACTATCGTGTTCGAAGTGATTGTGAAATTATTTTTACTTCCGGCGGGGGGGGGAGTTCAACTAATTAATGACTGACATTATTGCATCCGAGACTTCCAGTTAACAATGAAGAAACAAATTATATTCTACATAGGCCTGGGGTAGACCTTTCAAATAAGGTCCGAACAAGACACACAGTTTACCTTATTTCCTTATTTGGAAGGCTTGAAAACATTTTTAAACATGGCTATGGAGAGGCATTCTCCCACAGAGGCTCAGGTATATAATGTCACGTGACTTTGTTTTCTTTTTGTGTCCTATGCTTAGCCTAGTGCTCCAATCCTAACATGGAACAAGTGACTCAGTGCCCACTACGCGTGCCTAAATCCCCCTGGAATGGCGGGATGAATGGCCCTGCCCCTCCAGGGCAGTTCCTACAATGTGTTCTTCAAAATGATCAATGCAGTCAGAGTGGGTGGGCTTTGGCTTTGGCAGGGAGAGAGTCGCCATCTACTGGGTGGGAGGACTGCAGAGAAACCCGTGTGTTAAGGTGACCTGGTAAAGTGAAGAGCGTGACTGCCAAGAGCTCATCACAACGCTTGAATCCCTCAGTGCGGGGAGAGAGGACTGGACACTCTTCACACGTAATTGTAACAACAACGAGGATGACCAACCCCAGAGCTTGGCCATCAGTGTTTTTCCCCCAACTTCTAACCCTCAGTGCTTCTCACATGTTCACAGTCTCTCAAACGGCCACCACCGCACTTGTGACGGCCAGTGCTACACAGATCTAAGCAAATGTCTGCTGGCCCACTCCCAAGCGCTGTGTTAAGCACTCTTTGAAACGCTGACGCATGCTTTGTAAAAGCCCTATGCTGTAACGTGGAAAAGCGCTGGGCTTACCTGAAGTTCTCTGTATCTATCTTGAAAACAAAGAGCCTCTTGCTCCTTTTCTTTCTGGAAGTCTTTTTCTAAGACACTATGCTTCTCCAGCAACGATTCCACATCCTGAAAAAAATCCAAATACTAATGTTATAACAATAAATGGCATGAAACACATTGAGGTGTTTCAAGGAACTAATTTAAAAACAAACAAACAAACAAACAAAACACTTTCCAGGCAAAGAACTTGGGAAGAAATATGACCAAAATGCAGTAATGCTATAAATTATAGGCCACAAATTTCTAGACCCATAGCAAACACTGACATAATGGTAAAGTGGATAACAAAATCAACAGCATTTATATAATTTCTCTCTATATATATATAGATAGATAGATAGACACATAGATTTACTAGTCATTTTGCAAATTCATTTGTATTGAAGACAGATCGCAGCACACATCAACAGTTGACTAGCATGTCTTTTTAAGCACTCTGTTTAGATATCACCATGATGCTTGACTTATCACAGGGAGACAGCATCACAAAATTTCAAATCTACACAAGAAACATAGTAATTCCTGCTTTTAAGTTCAAACTAAGCCAAAAAATTAAGAATTCTTGGAAACAGAAAGAGAGAGAGAGAGAAGGAGAAAGGAAGGAAAAACAAAGGTAGCTAAGAGCAGCAATTTGTCAGAGCAGTGAGACACAGCCCAGCCCAGCATAGCCCAGCATAGTCCAGCCCAGCATAGCCCAGCCCAGCGCAGCCCAGCCCAGCCCAGCCCAGCGCAGCCCAGCCCAGCCCAGCATAGCACAGCACAGCCCAGTGCAGCCCAGCATAGCCCAGCCCAGCCCAGCCCAGCCCAGCACAACACAGCCCAGCACAGCTCATCCCGTTAGAGGACCTGGGTCCAGCACACAGTTCTGCTCCTTACTGACGCACACCCTGGAGGGCACTAGTGGTGGCTCCAGGGATTGGTTCCTGCCACCTACAACCTGACTCACACTGAGTTCATCCTCAATCCCAGCTCTACACTTGCCGCCCAGCCATTCAGCAATTGGAAGTGTGACCCAGCAGATGGGTCCTCCTTCTCTGCCTTTCCAACAACAACAAAATCATATAAGTACATCCATCCATCCCTCCATATCCCTGAGGGATTCATTCCAGTCTCACCCTACAGCAAAAGGGTCAAAGATTCAAATCCCTCCCACAAAATGGCACAGTATTTCAAAAAACCTAAACATATCCTCCTGTATATTTTAAATCATCTCTGGATTACTTACACAAACTCACACACCACAACTGCTGGCTAAACAGTTACCACACGGTGCTGCTTGGGGAATCATGGCAAGAAACCAACGTCTGTACATGTTTAGTACATGCCCAACTGTTTTTTCTAGAATATTTCTGTGCAGCCACATCAATCCAAGGATGTGGAACTCCTGGACTCGGAAGGTGGGCTGTACTCAAGAGTAGGGATTCCATTATCAACCTGTAGCCATGGTAGGATAGTATCTTGGGATCCCATTCAGTTTTCAGTCCACGAAACTCTACGTTTTTCCAGGAAAATGCAAACATACCTTCTTAATTTTCAGTTTTTCTTCTTCAGACGCTTTGAGCTTACTCTCCAGACTTGAGATTTTCTGCTGCAGCTGGATGTCTGACACATTGGCTGCAGGCCCCTCCGAGTCGTCCACAAGGGTGAGTGTCCCATGGCCTTTCTCATCAGTTAAACTCAGTGGGAAAAGGGAGATATCCAGATGAGTGTGGGCTGACGGCTGGATCTGAACCAATCAAAAAAAAAAAATGGAAGAATAAAACAAAATACAAGAGAGGAACACTGACTCTCTCACAACAACAAACACGCAAAGGGCACCAGAAACCACATGTGAGAATTAAGTGGAACCAAGGTTCCCAAATTACTTCGCCCTTTATGTAAGTCAACAAAAGACCTCAAAACCGGGCTAACGACCTATTCTGTTTGTGTGTAGGGACAAAACTTCTGGTCAATTTGAAAGCCAAACACATTGATTATCTTGCTAAGCCATGCACTAAACAATGGAATATTTAAAATGTGTTTTCCTCTGTCTGAAATTACCAACAAGTGGCGGAAGGCATAGCTGACACAGGTTGTGGCATTTAGACACAGGCCTAACATGTGCTAACATTTTCAATTGTAAATCAGAATTTCAAACGTAACAATGGCCTAGAATCTGTCCCTGCTTTCTAACAGAATTAGCAGGTTAATTCAAAATCATCCACAGCACTTTAGAAATTTAACTCCAGCACCTCAACAACCTGCTTGGGTAATTAGCTGAATGAATAGAGCTTAAGAATTTATCTTGTTGGTTTTTACTCTAAAACAAAAATCAGTGCTCTAAAATCTTACAATATATAGGTTTCTCTAAAAAAAGAGAAATAACTAAACTTTAGTCATTAGTTTCTCCTTTGGGAGTTTAGGATTTAAAAGCAAAGCTCACTTAATTTAATACGTAAGTCCCCAAATCATATTTCAGCAACCATGACTACCTGAATACTTCGCATGCATGGCACAAGACAGTCATGCTATCTAGTTCTAATTTTTAGAAATCTAAATGTTAGCCTCAAAAATTACAACATTCCTGTAAAATTACTCCTTTGGGGGAAAAAAAAATGAAAATCAGCAAAGTATTAATTTTCTTAATGTATGTGAAGTTCTGTTTTAAAAAAGGCTTTTGACTCACACTTTCTGCGTGTGTGTTCTCTACTGAGGACACAACGGCATCTGGGGAGAGGCAGCCAAGGGAAGGACAGTCGCGGTCCACTCCGATGTCAGGAGCGGCAGGTGCAAGGTGCACTCCAGACACTGGGGGAAGGGCAGCAACAAGGTCATGATTAGCGACAGGAAAGTCGAGAGGCAGGTGGACGGGAGGAAAGGCACAGGGGAGATGGCCAAGGCTGGGGGAATCATCGAGGCCCGAGAGGGGGAATCTGGACGCCAGGAGTGCTCCTCCAGCACATTTCTGCTCAACTTCAGAACTCATGACCCCCCTTTAGCAGGCTGCGTCGCGTGAGACCAAGCAAACTCAACAGTTGTAGAATGCCTCAGTGTTATACAGTGGCATGTTGAAGAAAGAGCTGTGTTCCCAGAGATGGTACTCACACATACTAATGCCCATTCACGTCATTCTGAAAAGTCAGGTTAGTAAAAAGAAGAACGCAGAGTATCTGCTAGTGCCAGCCATGGCCTTGGCACCTAGGCGGCTACAGTGAGTGAGACACACTCAAGTCTTGGTGAGCTTAGAACAGGAGGCGGCCAGCCAACCCAACATTGGGACAAGGAAGCGAGGGAGGAGGAAAAATTGCTCAGACGGTAGATCCAACTCTGTGTTAAATCCTTTTGGAACATCCTTGTTAAAACCAAGTCAACTTCAGTTGGCAAAGTATTTCTAGAGTAATCTCATGGTGAAATACATGTTTGCAATTAGTTTCCCAACAAACTGCAATTAGGTTGTGATTAGGGTTCAAATACAAAGGTTACAAATGGAAATCCTATTTGCCAAGTATGACACAAGACAAAATGTAGATGAGGGCAAAAATCCACAGGTGACATTTACATGATTTTTAACTGATTCCTCTAAAACTGCAGTACGAGTGTGCTATGTGTTTTCAAATGCAAGAAGGGCAACTGTCATGGCATCGATAATTTCTACATATATATTACCCTTGGACATAATAAAGACCTTTATTCCACATTGGCATCGGGAGCACCGTCAGCGAAGTTCTGCCGAAGTTCTGGAAGGCAGTTCACAGTGGAAATTGCATTTTTCCCCGAATAAAGATATTTATAAGGCTATTAGGTGTCAGGAAAGCCAAGAATATATTGATTTCTGATTGGTGCTTTAAGGTTTATCTAATTACCTACACTTTTACTATGGAACATTACGTTTTTGAGACATACCATGTCCCACAGTTCATAATGAAGCCATTCTAGCATTGTCCTGTAAATATGTCAGTTTTTTTAACTCACATAAAGTGGAATGCCAATTCATGTTTGTACTGGATGTACCTTTTACTAACTGCTTCTGTATCATAACAGATACTTCTTTCACATGTCAAATGTTCAAACTTGTAAATCGTAGCACAAATATTTCCAATGAATTTAAGAATTACAGCTCTCAGAATGACAGCACAGATTCGGGAATCATACTGTCGCCCCAAGTCAAGAATGACCCGAATCTGAGTTTCTCTGATTATAAAACAGGCATGGGGTGGGCATTGTGGCACAGCAGGTTCAGCTGCCAAGATGATGCTCACACCCCATAGTGGAAGGCCTCTGTAGAGTCTTGCTTCCTCTTGGACCCAGCTCCTTGCTAATGATGCATGTGGGAGCAGCCAGTAACCCAGGGGCTCAGGTTCCTGCCACTCACAAGGGAGATGAGGCTGGAGTTCCTGATGCTTGGTTTCAGACTGGCTCGGCCCCAACTACGGAGGACATTCAGGGACTGACCCAATGGATGGAAAATTACTCGATCTCTGTCTCGGTCACACTGCTTTTCAAATAAACAAGCTTTTAGAAACTCATGTAAGTAGTTATCCTTTCAGATTCCACTGTGTCACAGGAGTATTTCCATGTGTAGCTTTCTTTATTCGTCCGGAACAGAGAATACGGCTGTCACGACTCTGCACTTTCTTGAAACTCCTCTCTGCTGTAAACTCTCACCTCCTAGGTCTCCTGAGACTTTGCTTATTTTGTCCCCAGTTCCTAACCGAGCTCCACAAAGCCTTAAGTCTTCACTATGTCCTGCACCTTCTGGTCTCACTTCACATAGTATTCTGGGCTACCACTCTAAAAGCCATCCATTAGGTGAATATTTATTGGTCAGTAACCCCCAAATCCACACCTCCAGCCAAAGTCACATCCCAGACCTCCTGGTCCATATGCTCATCTCATCACCAGGCCACTTCCATTAACCTGTAAGACAGCTAAATCAAACTTACCCATCATTTTATATTACCCTGCTTTGCTTCATGTTTTCCATCCTAGTTTACAGTTCTGTAAGGAAGTCTTGTTTGCCTAACCCAGGAATGATATCACTAGGAGCCACTGTCGTTCCAGTCGCACAGTGCTGCCAACATTCCCTGATTACATCATAATTCTCAACCCCTCTGTGACCTCACAACATTACTGCCAATGAAGCAGAAGAGGCTTTGGGGCCAGAAATGGCTTCGTTTGAGATCAGGTTGGCTTAGGGAAATCTCATAAATGTTCTTACAGCAAAGCTTCCTTCTCTGAAAGTGGGAAAATAACACGTACCAGAAAATGGCACTGTACAGTAACTCAGGTACTGTACTTGAACCACGTAGCTTAGGTGCAGGTCCAGCTGGTAAAGGAAAGTGCTCACTGTGAGACTCAAAACCAGATTTTCCAAGTACCCAACAACCAACTTCACCAATCACTCAACCACAACACAGCTCTAATTTCCCACTGTTTACTAAGATATTGCTGAATTCCTAGCAAATGGCAATGAAGCCTTTATATATCAGAATCCATGTGATACTTTTAAGCATGAATACTGCAATCAATGAAAATCAGCGAATTACATTTCCTTCTAAAATCAAAAGCATACACCAAAGAAACTTTTTAGAAGCAGAAAAAGGGGCAAAGTAGCATACACATTAAAGATGATTCAGAGAGGCACATACAATTAATCAAAATCCCTGATGTCAAAAAAAGGAAAAGCTAACAACAAATAAGTGCAAACATACAAGATTGTCAGAACTTAGCTAACAAATTTCAAAGAAAATTCTAATACATGTGATTTTCAAAAAGTTAACACAGCATGCCTTATTGTATAGATTCTGTTATATCTGATTCCTTTCTTCCTTTATAAAACAGTCTTAATACTTGCAACAAAGCCATGAAAAGTCTTCCTAAATTAAGTGTGAGCAGTTGTACAGCTAGCCTCCCAAACTTAGAGAAAAACAGCATCTTTTAATGAAAATGAAGGTTAACTGACCTAAGGACTAGAAACGTAAATCCAGACTTGAGAATCTTGTGGTATGCAGCAACCTGAAGAGAAAGCTACAGTGCTCCCCTCGCAGGCTCCTTACCATCTCGTGGCATGCTTGGGCACAGGGAGGACTCCCTGGAAGCAGGAACATGAAGACAACTCAACAACCCTTCCACAGGCCATCAGACTCGCACCAGGGAAAGAAACTCTGTTCAGCATACGCTTGGGAAGTGTGGCCGCCGACCTCAGTGGCTACAACACATCCTCCAGTGCATACCCAACAAAATGCCATGGAAAAACTATACAGATCACACGTAAACACAAACATAAGGTTCCGTTAAAGCCACCTTTCTTCTTAAAATCCACCAGAATGGAAGTTTATCATTTATACAACTCATAGATCTAAGAAAGATATTTAATGTGAAAATGTGCAACACTATCTTTTTAATGATAAACGCATATATTGTGGTACTGATAAAATACTGAATAACATCAGGTGTGCACCTGTTAGCAGTATGGGCTAATAACGAGAATCTGGCAAGAACTTCATTATGCTTTCATATTAGGATGAATTATCAAGGAGTACCTCATAGCCAGCAGCCCATCCAGTTTTTTTTTTTTTAAGAAGATCTAAATATCCCTGTTTTAAAAGAAAAAAATGGCAACAGGGTTATCTGGCTGGGCTCTTTTCAGAGCACCATGACAGACAGGAGGAAACACACCTGAGGCTGGCAATGGAGGGGGCAGCGCTGCAGTGGGCGCCACGCCAAGGGATGCACAGACCCAAAGACACCTAGCATTCCTTTTCATGAGTCAAGGACCCAGGAAACAAACCCACCAGTGGGTAGGACCTCCTGACTTGCCATCATCATAGTCTCAGACCACGGGAACGTGCATTTTCAAGTAAGCACTGTAATGCTGATAGCAACTTGCAGACTTAAATATATTTGTACGTATATTTCATACGTACAATGTCGAGAATGCATGCATAAGCACTTTACATATACTAATAATTGCATGAGAAGAAATTATTCAACAGTCCTTTTAATTTTTTTTTCAAGAATAGGATAGAGATGTTCATTGGTGAATAGTTTCTAAAGACTTATTTATATCAAGGGCAGGGTTACAGAGAAAGAGGGAAAAGAGATCTCCCACCTGCTGCTTCACCCCACCCCCTCCACCCATCCAAAATGGCCACAACAACAGGCCGAACTGGGCCAGAAGCTGCATCAGGTCTCCCACACGGTATGGGGACCCAAGCACCGTGGGCCATGTTCTGCTATTCCAGGGACAGTAGCAGGTGGTAGGTTCCAAAGTTCAACAGGCAGGACTGGAGGAGCGCACCTACGGGATGTCACCCTTACTGTAGGCGGCTGCAGCCTCTGAGCCAATGGTGGCCCACGGCTTTGTCTTGGTTGAGAAACAACCGAGACGGCGACAGAGGCTTCAGGACTGCTCTTCCTCCCTCAGGACTCTGCCACAGAGAATGTCTCAATTACGAAAACTGTCTATGGACAACACTTTCTCCGGCCAGAAAGAATTCAATTTAAGAGCAACAATAAAAAAAAAATAATTGGAAAAACTCTTTGTGTTCCAAACATGAAATACTTTCATAATAAGCATCAATTTGCCTGCAAATTAGGAATCCTTCCATTATTCTTCGATCTGAAGGATTTTCTTTTCAATAAAAATAGGCATGAAGCGGTTTAAGCAGTAATTAGAAGGAAAATTACAGCCTGGATTGCTGGAATCTGAAATACAAAGCTGAAACCAGCGACAAGCATCAATTTTGTGTGTGTGCGTGTGATTAGGAAAGCAGAAGAACAAATCCAACAAACCAAACAAAACAAAA